AGTGCATATGCCAGTGAAGACTGATAGCTCTCCTGGACAGAGGAATCAGTTAATCTGTTTACATCAATCTTGCGGTGCTTCGTGTTTCGGGATCCTCCAAAACACATACAGATTTTCGCGCAGACCAGAGCATGATCTGAATCAACGAAAGTGGACCAAAAGGACCTGCAGTCCAGTACGCTGCCGCGCCATCTGAAGCTAATCGCAATGTGATCAATTTGAGACCAAGGTTGTGTTGGCGAAGGGGGACGCCAAGTTGCGGAATGTTTCTTCGTACGCCTGAAGCTAGTGCTCGAGAGAAACAGACGGTTGTCCTCGCACAATGTGAGAAGTCTCTCTCCGTTATCAGAGCGGTTCTCATCGAGCGCGTGATGACCACCAAGGTGGCGTTCGTATGGTAACAGGCGGCCAACCCGTGCATTAAAATCCCCAGCAAGGATAACGACATCCGACCTTTTAGCATTAGTCAAGAGCTGTTGTAGATCTCGGTAGAAATCGTCCTTGACCGAGTCGCTACTGCAGTCAGTTGGAGCGTATACAGAGATCACAAACAAGTTGCGTCTCTCTTCGCGTTGCCTGTTGATTCTACATGAACCCCGAAGCCGAACTGCACATAGTCGGCTGTTAATCGGGAACCAGTCCAGTAGTGCCGCCTCGGCCTTGCCACTCAGTGCTATACCTACACCAGCCAGACCCACTGAGGCTGCGTCTGGATCTCCAGAAAGACGCAGGTGATATCTGGCTTCGTGGTCAGTGGGGGATGTCAATGTATGCACAGTGCTGGGATCTTGCAATCGGGTTTCTGAAAGACAGCAGACATCAATGTCTAGGGAATCTAGGGTGCGCGCTAGACCGGCTTGCTGTCCAATCTGCATGAGTGTCCGGACGTTGAAGCACGCTAGACGGAACGAGGATTGGGGACGAAGGAGAGCCATAGGTTGAATTCCTTGATCTGCGGAGCAACCGGAATCGCAGCCAGATTGTTGAACAGATGAATCGGGTAACCGAAAGTGAGGATTGTTAGCAAACAAACAATTGGCGTGTGATGGAGTAGCGTGAAAGTGAGTAGCAGGAATAGTAGCTGATGAGCGCGTTGTGGTACAGTCCATGGAACCCACACTGAAGTGCTTATATGCGACCAGCATTCACTTCTATGCGGTGCGCGGTAATAAAATTGTGAGCCTTTCAGCAAGTGCATCTCGTTTTCACGAGACCTAAATGCAAGCTATCAAGCATTTAAACTTCAACTCGGCAGCGTCCAACTCTGTGATGTTTCAGGTTAACAGACCGAGAGTATGGCTGACCATTTTATCGGACGGCTCCAGATCGCTTGAACTATTACCACTCGTCTGCTTACAAAGGCTTCAATCAGTTGGCCCACTCACATACACCAACAGTCATATAGAGGTCCCTGAGGCAATCCAAAAATCGCTCCGATCGTCTACATCAACAGTGGAACACAATGAATCCCCTATGCAGCCACCATACATTGTGTCTTCGCCGTATCTAACAGGGTGTCAGCATATCTTTCAGTATCGTAACATGTTTCGTCTTTGTTTGAGCTGCCGACTGACAGAACGGCGCACTTCATTATGGTTAAACTCTGCTGGAATATTTCTGCAGCGGTCAAATAGCTTCAGGGAGCGTGTGGAGATCCAGGCCTTCATATGGCGTTCATGCTTCCTCGAAATTGAGGTCACCATTTCAACGCGATGTTTTTTTTACCGAGCCGTTACTCCTATTATTGCTCTGTTCAGATTGTTTCTTCTAGGTTGCCTAGGTAAAGTGAACAAATCATTGGCACGAAAGCACGTAATCAGTTCAAAATATCGCGGGGATAGTTCGACAGGAAATACAGATGGAATGTGAAAACAACGCTTTCTTAAATACTGTTAGAAGCGTCTATGTTAGTATTTCCATGGAAAGAAATCATGAACTGTGGCCAAATCACATTTCCATGCTTTAGTTTTTCACACATAAAGGAGATTCTTTTAATACATTGTTGTTTACCACTAACCACAGCTCTAATCCTGTCTGTTGGTTGTTCGTGGATTCACTTTTTTAGAAGCTTGTTGTATTCTTGTCCGCATGTTGCTTTTCCGGAGCGGTTTGCTTTGTGTTTTCCGTAAGCTGGACGTGTTTTCTGTGATTCACCCGGCTACTTTATTCATACCTCCCCTTGTTTGCCCATCTGCTAGATGACTCTTGGACCTCATTTAATTCCCATCAATCTCCCTCGAATGTATGTTGAGTTTTCGGTAGATAACATTGCTCCTTCTCCATATGCTTTATTCAAGTTACTTCCTTTTTAAAATTAACGATGAATCAAGAGATAGATTGTTGCTTTTTTCCGGCTAATCTTTAGCGACTTGGAGAGCTTCCTGTTAGATCTTACCATAATGAGTAAAATATTCAAAAAGAGAGTTTTGTTATGCACCTGGTCTAGCTAGGTTATTTGTTTGTATCAACTGCTCGCTTTGGCGCACATATTAACTTCCACTGAACTTCTGGGATATTGCCCCAACGTTCCACTATTCAAAACCTTAGCTTTGACACATATAATGAAATAAAACAAAGAAGACGTTGTATTGCTACTAACTCGTCTTCAACTTTCACAACGAATATCCGACTAATGCTTTTCTCTTCAGCAACACCGATTCACCATTATTGTTTTGGTAACAACCATCTCATTTAGCTGGGAAACCATTCCCGTGTTAGAACCAAGCTATGCTATATATATATATATATATATATATATATATATATATATATATATATATATATATTGTGGTAAGGGACGCAGCGTGGTGTGTGTACGAAGCTCACTCTATTCCTGGCAACGCGGAACTATTTGCTGCAGCGTAGTCACTGTACAACGCTTGTCCATGGGGACAAATTATTATACAGGTAATGCCTAGCGGAAAGGATTTTTACAAACATGTGAACAACATTCGGAAAGTGAAGTGTGGTGTTCTCCCACTCGTCGCAGCACATAGATGTACTCATAGCGCCTAGAATGCGACACACATTCTACGATTACGATATGCTTCAATATTCCGACGCGCTTCCAGCGTCCCCTAGACACCAAGCTTTGCCACCCGACTTATAGTTCAGCGACCGCTTTGAGAAGTCTGCAGTCATTACGCACCCGTGGCTGTTCTGGAATTACCGGCATTCATAAGAAAACACTGCAATGGCAGCTGCGAGGCCAGTTGTGCCGTTCTTCCGATTCTTACAAAAGTATTTGGATCGGCAGCAGGTAACCAACTTGTGGAAACAGGGTATCTTTCCTATTTTAAGGGTGGTAACCGTTCGAAATGCGCCAACTGTTGCCCATTGATTCTCCTTACTGTGCTCTCATAGGTAATAGAGCCGATCATTACTGAAGCACAAGTGGGCTGTTTAGAACTTAACACCATAGCACCGAAGCAACACCACTCACGTCAGAACCGGTCATGTACTACCAAACTACTGATTGCGCGTGGCAGTTGAACTGAAACAGCGGATAATTGGACCGGGACCGATGTCATCTATCTAACCTTTCCTAAAGCCTTCGATCGCTTAGATCACGACATCCTTCTCCATAGGCTGCAAACCTACGGAACTGAGAATCTTGTCCCTGGATGAAACTTCTTTCTCCGGCGGCGACTACAGGTTCAGGTGCGGTACTGATGTCCGATTCTTTTGAGGCAGACTGCGGTTTTTCACAAGGATCATTTTCGCGTGTGTCATCGAGTCGAACTTTTTGCAATTTTTTACCGTTGCGATGTATTTATGCAGGGCGATCGGTAATCAGAAAGCTCACGATCTGCTACAATGGGACCTGGACAGTGTTTCAGAATAGTTAAAACCAAATATAATTTCATTCCTCGCGGATGGGTGTAAAATATTACACTAACGTCGCAAGCTTAATAGCAAACAGGCTGGGGGACCACGTCTTGAAGACTACGTCACCGGAACGTCAATTTGGGGTGGTACAAGGCGACCTCTGCTATTCATAGCAATCCTTGGTGTCCAAACCAACCTACTGGCCTCTTACCATGGATGTTTGGGCGGTTCGACCCTTCCATCTCACAAGTGCTCAGTGTGTATGTGAGGCTGCATGTAGAGCACGCGATTCAGCCCTAATTAAAGCGCGATCTGGTTGCACTTGGAGCTCCGCAGCGAAGGACAATAAAAAAGTTTATGATCTTCTTCAATTTGCCCCAGCAACTATGACTGGAAAGCCTATGGATTGACAACCGAGTTATCGCTAACTAAAGAGTGACCTCATTCTGACGTAACAGATTTTGGGAAACCAGTCACGTTTGCCGCCACTCCCTGAAACCTAGCCACAACACAAAACTACGGAGCTGCCAACAGAAACTGGCCAATCAATGCAAGTGGCTGGGCTGCCGCCGGAATTTTGTTCCGCCAGCATTTATCAGTTGTGGACGCTTTTCCGACTTTGTCATTTCTATACGCCCACGTTATCCCTTCTTGCAAAATGACTAGCTGATGCACTACACTATTTGTATCACGTGACCTAACCCCTGACATGCTACAAACACGCATTGTGCTCACCAGCCCCCACGAAATGGAGTTAGACGGATTTGCGTGTGTGTGTGTGTCTGTGTAACGTAGATATTATGGCGAGTCCATAGATGGGCGGCTTAACTTACTGTTGGTTTTTTCTCTTTGCACTTACCTATTTCACACAGACGATGCTAAGGGACTTGTCAAGCCTTAGTTTTTTTAAACCTGTATTATGTTCACAGATAGCACTGATCGGGAAGGTAATTGCTACTGTAACGGCATGCTGTGTAAAACAAGTGGATAACTATGAATACTAGAAGAAACGAATTCAGGATCGCATCTCTTACTGTTTCGGAGTACATGTCCAGACAGTATAAATGGGTTAACTGGTTTAAGCTTTCCCCTTTTCGGTACAGAAGCTCTGGTAATCGATATCATCAATCTCCACACGGAACTTTAGCATCCCTTCCCTTTTTTCTTTTCAGTTCGACGATCTCGCTGTGGTGACACTCAGCTCACAAGATTTGACTCCACACCTGGATGGGGACTTATCCCGCCGTCCCCATTTGATCAGCCTACAACTTCCTTCCGATCGGGAGTACGTCTCTGTATTCTTACTCATGTCTCAATGTATCTCATTGTATCCAACTATTCTTTTCCTCAACTTCACTGCAATAGATGTTTGTGCACTTTACCAGGCTTTGTGTCCCATGGTATCGGGAGCTGGACCAAATGCTTCGCGTTATCGGTGCTAGAAAGCGCCTACGTCTTTCCGCTCTGAGGTACATCGAACGCATTCGGTCAGCTGCTGGTATACTATTCAGGCGACCCTGTTTATTTTACACGGCCTTGTCGATGAAATTTCGCACCGCTGACGAGCGCATCATGCTTTTTAACCGGGTCGTGAGAACGAATTTCGATGCAGCGATTCCCAACTTGGGACGAATCCTCAAATGGTTTTGTGCTAACCTGATTTGCTGTAACTTGATTTTCATTAGATTCCTACCATTAGTTCATTGTGCAGTTTTTCCACCTTTTAGGTGGGTTTTCACCCCAATAAGTAGCACTGGCTGTACGATCGCGATCAGCGCTTCCTGGGTTTTCGCGACCCTCACTCTCTAAAATAAGATGCAATCCGTTTTTGCACATACATTGACACTATACTTCTGAGCATTGTTGGGTTAATGGACTTTTGCATTCTAGTATTTGTTCAACAAGCATACTGAGGATCACACCGCTGGTGGCCACCAGAATCTTGCTTTGTTGTTTGAACATATGTTACTACGACTTTTCTCAATGCGTGCTTCGGGACAGCACAAGTCAATTTGAATGTAAACCGAAGGTCGCACACCGAAGCAACTCCTTGAAAGCACTTATCATTAGCCTGTTTGAGGATCCCGACTATCGATTAAACTTTCTGAATGGGTGCTCACAACGGAAAATATCAGATTTGGAGCCCCAATGATAGCAGGCCGGTAACAAACGATTTTGCTGTCCTTCACCAGCAGTTTCCGTCAGATGACGCATAGTGTCTGACTCCCGTTCCCGAGTTTGGATGCATTCAAATTATCTCCCCCGTCACGAATTTGTGTTTTTCTATTCTCTTGACTGATTGCCGAGAATTCCGTCGAGCGTTGCTAGACTTATCTTGACGATATAAACTCATCGCGCTTTTATGTTGCTCAGGAGCGATACGGTTTTCGGGTTTGTAATAAATCAGATAAGACTACGAGCTTCAGGCCTGGTCTGGCCTGGCAACTTGCCTAAGTTGTGCATCCAACTTGGCCAAGAAACTACTAAACGACAGCAGGGATATTTGTCACTCCCGATGATGTAGTCGTTGCACTTAAGAAACCAGTAGTGCATAATCAAAGCTTATGTCTCAAGTCAGCACCCACACAACAAAGGAGGACTTGTGCCATGGCGCAGTGATCCACATCAACAAAGTACCACAACTTCTTCGGTCAACGTGTGCTGTGTGTAGTGATAGTGTGCTGGGTGGTGGGATTTTGCATCGGAATCACGTCGAGCCATTTTGTGTAGGAATCAACAAAAATCAAATAAGCTTGACCGTTGATTGGTCCCGCATAATCCAAATGAATTCTCTGCCAGGGCTTCTACTCGCGCCAAGAGTGCCACGAACATTTCGGAGATGCCTTTGCCGCTAGTTGACAAGATTCACAACTTTGTCAGAACTGCTCGATTTCTGCATCCATTTGATGCCAATACACAAAACTTCGCTCCAGTGCCTTCATTCGGCTGGTTCCCGGATGTTCTGAATAAAACTGCTGTAGTATTCGCTTCCGCAACTTCCTTAGTACCACGACTCGGTCTCCAAACATTAGACAATTGTCAACAACCTAAGGGATCCGGGTCGATTAAAGAAATGTTGTAACTCATTCGAAATTCTGACATTAGGCCAACCCTATCACTTCCAGCAAGATATCATCTTGAGCCGTCTCTGCACGAATCGTGTCCGATGTTACTGGCAACTCCCTTACACTGTCAACCAGGATGCGCTGAACTTCCGAATTGGATTTGACAGATGCAATCACGTAGTCCTCGTTTTCCTTCAAGTGGGAACTGAGGAGACGAGATAGAGCGTCAGCTTGGTCGAGTTGTTGTGTAGATCGGTATTGTATACTGAAATCTAAGCCACAGTACGGTTGCCCATCTCTGTAACCGACTTGCTGTGAAAACAAGAATACCTTTCTTTGATCCGAATATCGAGAGTAGAGGTTTGTGGTCCTTGATCAGTTTGAAGTGTCTCCCATATAGCATCTTATGAAACTGTTTCACTGCGAAAACAATCGCCAGCGCTTCCTTCTTAATCTGGCTGTAATTTTTCTCCGCCACTGTCAGCAACCGCGCTGCCTGCGCAGTGGCCTTCTCTTCTCCTGCGAACACGTGAGAAATGACAGCCTCTACCTTATAATTGGAGGCGTCCGAGACAACAACAATCTCCAAGTTTGGATTGAAGTGGGTCAAAAGTAAATCAGAACTGAGCGTTGCTTTAATTATATCAAAGGAATGTTGGCACACCTTTGTCCATCGCCATACTTTCCCTTTCATCAGCAACTCTGGTCTGTCGAGTGGTCTGCACGTTTGGTTTGCAACCATAAGGTCACCAGTTCGAATTCGCGTAGGGGTGGGCGTCCTCGCGGTATACTCAGCCCGCGCACGACGTGGTGGTCGAGCGGCAGCGAAGCGCCGTTACAGCGTACAGCTGACACATTAATTAATTAATGACAGGAAGGCACTATAATGACTTATAAGACCGAGAAATGAACGAAGTTCGGCAACATCCCTTGATAGTGGCATTTGCTTGATGGCTTCTATATTAGCGGGATCCGAAAGTCGGTCATGTCTGTCAATGATGAACCCGAGAAACTTGATACTTTCCATCAGGAAATTGCATTTTTCCGCTCTTACCTGGAAGCCAGCTTCTTCTAGACGAGTGAGCACTTTCCCTAACGTGACCTGCAATGCTTGTGGGTCAGACCCCATAATCAATGCGTCATCCAGATTTACTGCGACCCCAGGGATATCGTCCAGCAGCGTAACCATGATTTGTTGAAAAATTGTGGGAGCAGTTTTCACTCCGAATAGCAACCGATTGTACTGGGAAAGACCCAGATGCGTGTTGACCGTCAGTGGTGTTCTGCAATTCTCGGCTACTGGAACTTGTAAGTAAGCATCAGCTAGATCGAGTTTCGCAAACCATTTTCCACCGTTAAGCTTGGTGAACAAATCTTCAGGTATAGGCAAAGGGTACTGGTGGTTCTCCAACATGGAATACGTACCTTGCCGTTTCCTTTCTTTATCACAACGATGGATGCCGCCCATTCTGAGTAATGTACGCGCTCGATTATGCCTTCCGACTGCAACCGATTTAACTCAGACTCCACTATTGGTTGTGTTGCATACGGTATTGGAGATTTTGGTCTAAAAACTGGTCTGGCGTCTGGTTTGCGGTTCATTCAGCTCTGGCTATCCGGCAGCATCCAAGACCGGGTTGGAACAAACTTTCGTGGCGTCGCTTCACTTCTGCAATCTGACTGTAAAGTTGAGGTTCATATTCTGCGTTTCTGCGAGTTTCTCGACTTGTAATTTCTGGCATATACTGTTAACTGACTGGTCAAGTAATTTCGATTCAAGAACACAACGTTGCGAAGAGTACTCTTTTCGATAAATCTCCTCAGGCATTTACAATTATAAAATGGAAAAGTACAAAGCAAACGGCTGATAAAGCCAAAATGGTGGGAATAGTGGAATCACGACTAATCTGCGATTCAAACACTAATGTTTCCAACCTGTTAAACCAGTTAAACCGTGTTCATCCATCGTTGAAGTTTACTATCGAAACCGAAAGAGATGGTAAGCTAGCCTTCTTGGACGTGTTGCTAAGCCGAAGAAATGATGGTTCATTGGAAAGAAGTGTATTCAGGAAGGCCACTTGGGTAGGCCAATATACACATTTTCTGAGCTTTGTACCCTTGAGGTACAAACGTAATCTCGTCCGCTGCTTGCATTTTCGTGCTACGAAAATTTGCAGCCAAGAGACGTTGGAGGCCGAAAAGATCCGTATTCTCAAAATGCTGCAAGATAACGGTTATCCGACCCCATTCATCAAAAAGTATGCAGTGATCCGTGATAGTCCTGAAGTGATTACTACTGTCCCGAAGAAGGACGTGTTTCTGTCACTTCCCTTTAAAGGCGATGTTGCCTTTGATTTGTTGACCAGAAGGATTTCCACTGCAGTGGCTAGAACTTTCCCAGCCGCATGCCCACACGTCCTTGCGGAAACGGCCCCCTTTATAACCCAACGCATTAAAGATAGACTTCCGGTTCAGTCCCAATCTTACATTTTATATCAGTTTACCTGCGCCTATGGTGTGAGGTACGTGGGACACACAACCAGGCGTCTGTCTAAACGCATTGCGGAGCACTGCCCAGCGGCTTTGAGGAAAGGCATCATCAGTCGCCCCAACAGTTCCATCCTGGAACATCTGGTGGAAAGCGGACACCGAATTAGGACCGCTGATGCCTTCCAAGTACTTTATGTAGTAAAACCAAGGTACACTAAAGGACTTAGAAAGCAAATCTTACGGACGGCCGAAGCGATTGCGATTAGAATATTGCAACCGGAATTATGTAAGCAGAAGGCCTTGCTGCAAGGGCTTCTTCTACCCTGGCCCTAGTCAGCTCGCTAATTTTTGCCACTCCAGGCGTCTACAGTGGTCGGATGATGCACTTGGCATCCCACCGATCAACTAACATGTGCTTTGTCACATGTGTAGTTAACGGATTTTATTGATCAATACTTTTGAGTTTCTGTTAGTCGTGATTCCACTATTCCCACCATATTGGCTTCATCAGCCGTTTGCTTTGTACTTTTCCATTTTATAGTTGTAAATGCCTGAGGAGATTTATCGAAAAGAGTACTCTTCGCAACGTTGTGTTCTTGTATTTCCATGGGTATAATTTCGATTCCTCCATCCAGTCGAGACCCAGCAAGTTCAATCCTGGTTGATCTGTCGCATAACAGGTTGTACGAATGTGCTGATAAGGGAAACTGACCTGATAATGCAACTCTTC